TTGTGGAAACCCACCTGTATTATTCAAATTTATGTTCTTCTTTTTCTTTAGTTCTTATCATCTTCTTCTTTATATTTTGATTTATCTTTTTTCTCCTCTTCCTCTACAACTTCTTTTTCCATTTTTTCTTCTACTTTGTCTTCTATGTTTTCATCATCTTCGTACCCTCCGACTTCATCGCTCGTCTTCATCTTCTTATTAGATTATATAATAAATACTAATTTTCAGAGCATAGTTAAACAGCCCAGGATATACATTGTTTACTTTGATCATAACATATGCATGAATTATATAATTAATATTAATTTTCAGAGCTTAGGTAAACAATAACAATCATATCTAACAAAACCATAGACATATTAGAATTCATAAACACCACAAAAAATCAATGAATAAATTTATGATTTTGAAAAAAATAAACTCGTAAAAATGGAAAAAGAAGAATCTTGACTAAAAACTACATTACAATTATATATATATATATATATGTGATAGTGTAATCATTAAACCACAAATATATAATCAACACGCACCAAATATCAATCTAACCGACCGAAAAATAATACCAAACCAAATTCAAAGACCCAAACAAAAAATTACCAACCGAACATACAAACCACTAAGTACACAAATCCTTAGCTACTGGATATCATCTATATATAAGCGTGAGCACCAAGACTAACAACTTTCAATAAAAATACCTAACAACATCCAATAAAAGTCTCAAATAATAAGCCTCTCAAACCGAAACCGGGCAGAACATAACGAAAATTTTAAGAAATTGTTAAAATAATATAATTAAAGAAAAGAAATTCAAAGATAATGCAAATAATTGACGAAACTTATACTAAAAAAATTGAATGGATCTATATACACAAAAGGAATTCATCATAGAACCTGCATGTAACAAAGCAGTGTACCTCATTTTAAGAGAGCAGCGGGAACCCCATGCATCTTTGAATAGAAAGCTTTGAAAGTAGGCTATGATCGTGAATTAAACCTAAAACATAACATGCATCTTTGAAAGTAAGGTGGACAACACCATTTAATTGTTCTTATATCAATATAAGAACATGGACTGCGAATGACGTGCCATAAAACCCTTAAGCAGTAAGCTTCACCATTGTTAGGGTTACAGTTGGAGGCAGATGGAGGCAGATGATACGGAAAAGTCTGAGGATCATGAAGGGGACGATTGCTAGTCGCTACAGAAAATTCATAAAAGTTTTGAAGCAACTAACTATTAGGCAACAGATTCACAATAGAAAAACCTCTAGAATCTGAAAAACTATTTAAAGCACGAACTGAAATAAAAACATAAATTTATATTTACTTGACGATTCCATTCACTACAAGAAAACACAAGATTACCAACGAATTTTTACAACGATTTCTTTTCGTTGCAACTTTACGACGAATTAACAACGAATTCGTCGTTAATTTGTTGTAAAATGATTCGTTGTAAAATCGTTGTAAATTTACAACGAATCTTAATTTTATTTAATTAAAAAATAAACGTTGTTACAACAAATTCTTTTTTAAATAAAAAACATTTTAAAAAATTATTGCAAGTTTTTTATTATTAAAAAAAATCTTTTCTCCTAACTACTATTATTTATAAGTTCTAAAATATTATTATTTTATGTTTACTTTATATAAATTTTATGTTGATTTATTAAATTTTCATATAAAAAGTGTATGTATAATTTATTACAGTATGATCATATATAATTTATTCAAAGTTACCAAAGAATTACCGACGATTCGATGTAAATTTGTTGTAAAATTTTATTTTATTTGTTTTTTAAATTAACAACGAAATTACAACGATTCATCCTAAAATCGATGTAAATTCATCGTTAATCAAAATTACAAAAGTCTCACATCTGTAGTTTGACAAAATTTCTTACAATATATATATATATAACAAACTCAACACTATTATATAACAAGTTCAACAATCTATCTTCACCGCTGGAATCATCATCATCATCGTCGGAGCCACCACCGCCGCCGCCGGAGGAGCCACCACCGCCGGAGGAGCCACCACCACCGCCGGAGGAGCCACCACCACCGCCGGAGCAACCACCACCGCTGGAGGAACCACCATTGCCGGAGGAGCCACCACCGCCGGAGGAGCCACCACCGCCACCGGAGGAACCACCACCGCCGGAGGAGCCACCACCGCCGGAGCCACCATCGCCGGAAAAATAATAAAAATCGTTGTAAATTCTTTGTAAAAATAATAATTAAACATAAATAAAATATTAAAAATCGTTGTAAATTCGTT